GCATTGAAGTGAAAACTGAAGAATTATCGGATGTTTCTGTAGAAGCTTGTGAAGCTGCTGAGAGCCGTTGCCTGACTAAGGGTGTCAACTCAAAAGCTAACTCTGAAAAAGTTGTACTAAAGAAAACTAGAGACAATTCTTGTCCCATCTGTGTTGGGAGGCGCTTCAAAGGCCCAAACAAACTTGCTAGACACATGAGGACCCACACAAAGGAAAAACCCTTCAGTTGCCCCGTCTGCAACAAGACATTCAGCCAATCCTATCACATGACACGTCATGTGAGAATTCAGCATGGTCTAGGGCAGTACATCTGCCCTCACTGCGGGAAGAGTTTCACCACCTGGCTAGAACTAAAAATACACAAAAGGACTCATGCTCACATTGATCTTTTTTGTCTGGCATGTAATAAGCAGTTCAAAGAGAAGGGTGCACTGGAAAAGCATCTTAAACTACACAAAGCGGTTGAGCCCAGTCCTCGAAGCCTCATCTGTGGTGATTGCGGCAAAGAATTCGGCCGCCCGTATCATTTGAAGAGACACATCATGTCTCATCGTAAAGCTGCAAAGTCTGACTTTTACACATGTCCTGACTGCAAGCAAATATTTTACTTCCCTGAAGACCTCAACAAACACCTGGAGGATCATGTGAAGGAAAACAGTGGGACGTGTCCGAAATGCAACGAGAGGTTCGGCAGTGTGGAGGAACTCGAGACCCACATGCAGGTTCATCGGAAGTCTTTTCCTTGTGGTACCTGTGGGAAGAAGTTCAAAGTGGAGTATGCACTGAAGAAACACGAGGAAGGTCACCAGCATGATCAGTATTACTGTTCATTGTGTCAGAAACACTTCATGAAGCTATCTCATTATAAGAGACACGTACAGGTCCATGACAGACGAGAATCTAGATGTCCACACTGCAACGACGTCTTTCTAAAGCTTACAGCTTTCAAATATCACCTTCGGACGCACACTCTGGAAAGGCCATACCAGTGCAGTTGCTGCATTGAGACCTTCGAGCAGGAGGAGGAGTTGGAGCAGCACTGCCTCAAACACAGGAAGTTTAAGAAAGAGAGGCCTTATTCATGCACACGCTGTGACCTTGCTTACTCAACTTTGGTGGAACTGACTGAGCACATGATCTCTCACGAGGGAGAGCAGCCACAGACCTGTCCCTTTTGTGGCAAAACCTTCCTGAACAAGAACAAGCTGGAGCGCCACATAAGTATCCATACTGGCGAGAGGCCCCACCTGTGCTCCATCTGCGGCAATGGCTTCCCTTCAGCCGCCAGTCTCAAGCTGCATGTCTTCATTCACACTGGGGAGAAACCCTTCAAGTGCCTGCAGTGCAGCAAGAGCTTCAGCTCCTCCAGCGGCTTGCGTCTCCACAGCAGGCAGCACATGGATGAGCGGCCCAGCTACGAATGTCCGGAATGTGGCAGGACGTACGGCCGCCTGACAGAGCTGAAGATGCACCAGCGCTACCACACCGGGGATAAACCGTACGCATGCACCTGCTGTAGCAAACGCTTTATTAGTAAAGACAAGCTGAACGTTCACATGAGAACGCACACAGGAGAGAGACCCTTTTCCTGCCCTCACTGTGGGCAAACCTTTACACAAACTGGGGACAGAAACAGACACATCAGTAAATATCACCCTATGATCTAATAATTCTGCAGGATGTTTCCTGTGAAAATCACATTAGTAGTTTTGCATGCTTGTAGGTATACTTTTAGGACTGTAGTTGGATTCACTGTCATATTATTTGAGAACGTGCAAGAATCCAAATTGTATTGGAAGCATGTCTTCAATAAACGTAGTATGTGTCCACAGGTAATCCTAAACACAAGAACTGACAGATGTAGAGCTTGATAATTGAAAGGTGCTCTGCTTTTCTGAAACAAGAAACTAGTCATTGAGGTAACTAGTTCATCTCAACTTATTGTAAAAACATTTTGTAATGAAACAGTTGTTCAAGAAAATGTTTTTTCAAATATTTAAGATGCAAAAATCCTAACAGATAACTGTTGGTAAATATTAAAATATTGAAGGATAATGATCCTTTTGCGCTAATTAAATGCTAAGGACACATTGTTCAGTACAGGATTTCAAACCTGTTATGATGGAGGGTTATAGGTAAAGTATATTCCATAGATGTAAAGAAAAAAAAAATTGTCAGGCATTAGAAACTTTATACTTAACTTGGACTTGAAAAACATGACTTATAAACATATCTGATGGAGCTACAACTACACCCAGAGCACACACACACACATATATATATATATATCATGCAAACGTTATTTGTCTAATATGATATGTCATCATGTGACTGTAATAAAACACTACATTGAACAATCTGTAAGAAACTGGAGAAACTGGACAGACGAAGAAATGGAGGGAAATTGCATTTATTTTTCTCATTGTTGATTTTGTTTCTCTCCAACATTTTATGTTAATTTTGCTTTCTTTAATGTTTTAAACTTGCTTGTGGGGTTGCTATGTCAGCAAATATTTTATTACTGTTTTAACTAGACGTCATAAAAATAAAACTTAATTCACATAAACATTCTGTGTTGAGGTCATGTTTTGTAAAAGATTTGTATTTTTGGCTTGATGATATTGGATAATTTTTTAGGAATATTATTTTGAACTATCACTACTTGAGTAAAATTTGTGGATGCTCTGAGTAATGAAAAACATGTTTTAAACAAAATCCACCGTACACAGACCTACAGTTTATTATAGAGACCTCTTTTTGTACACCAACTTTCTACTGTGCCTTTTGTGCCATTTATAGATCTAGAAGATTTAGTAAAACATTATCGTGGGCTTCTAAGTTCCAAAACCAAAATATTTTCCTAGGTAGGCCATGGGTGGCAACATGTGGTTTGGTTCTCAAACACGTCCGACTTGTCCTTCCAAAGAAAAGAACTATATATTTTTATATACTTTAAGAAATAACTAAAAATCTGATGAAACTTAAATGAAAACAAAAGTTGACTTAATCTTAGTCTGATGTTTCAAGTCAAAATGAGGTATAAAAAAATTATAATTATAAATCAATCTCCTGTCCAGACTCCCATTTCCCACCCTGGTGTATTCTTAATCTCTTAAAATAATGGAAGGGTATCAATGGTACCAAAGTAATCTAAATTAAATTATTTAATTTCCCTTTGGGATTAATAAGTGATTTTAATTTTAATTGAATTAAACAATTCGGACAAATACTGTAGATGTGGCTCATAATCTGTTGGTGGTATCTGACAGTATTATCGGAACGTTTATTATTATAATTTCGGCTTGTCAGTTTGGATATCACCATCAACTACATTAGCTGTTAACTTTATATCATTTCCATGAGATTTTATTACAGTACAACTTATCGACATTACTTGATATTCCTTTCTATTTGGACACGTAAACACCACAAGCAACACCATGAGTTAAATATTATTTTGCTGATTGCAGGTTTTTCAGTTGCCCTTTTGACTAAGTAGCTGCTGCATTGTGCCTGCAAGTATTTTGCATGGCTATGTAAATAATAAAATTATTATTGCTAGATAATTTTTCAATTTTGCCAGATCACATAGTAGCATTTATACCAAAAGCGAAAAATTAACAGCCAATCCAGGTGATCGGCAATGATGAGCCCTCATGGGACATCAGAATCGGCTGCAAAAAAACCTGATTGGAATGTCTCTACTTTTAATATTAGTTTAATACACTTTATAATGGAATAATATACCTTGAAATGAACTTTATTTTGCTGAAATCAATTCATAATTGTGTATTTTTTTTATTTTAATCTATAAAATACCAGAATTTGCCCATAACTTAATATTTTTCTGTCTTATGACATCATTGTTATGTTAAAATTATGCCATTGTGGTAAGTGTTTTGACCACCACTGAAGTCACACTTTTATGAAATACTGTTTTACTCTTGCTTGAGTAATAAAAAAATAAGGAAAATTATAAACAAATCCAATTCAGATGAAAAGTGAGAGTAAAAGTGTGTTCCGTTTGGCTCAGAGCCACCTCGAGTGAGTTCAGTGAGAAGAAATGTCATTGTTGATTCTAAACAAGTAATTTTAAGAAGATCACTCATATTTTGTAGTTTTCCTAACAGTAGTGACGTGTTTTATGTATACCATCACACAATAAAGGGGAGCCTTCTGTACAATTGCCTTGTTTTGTTGTCATCATAATGTGAGGAAGCCATCGTCTGTGAAATCTCACTATTTAGATCCAGATTTAATTAGAAACAGCTTAGTAAAGCCATGGCAAAATGGATTTTAAAAAATTAGACCACGGGTTCTCAAGCTTTGCTGCAAGTAGATCTGGTGATATTTGGGTGGTCTTTAGTAATGCTCAAAGAAAACGTTACCAACTATTTACATTGTCAATATGAAGCATATTAGCTGTAATGCGGATACAATAGGTCCAAAGAGCCAGCAGGATCAGCCAAAACTGATCCTGCTGGCTCTCAGGTTAATTAAGGTAACTGTTGAAGCAGCAGTGAACTTTTAACCGGGTCTCTTTCTGGGATGATCTTATTCCTCCACTGAGAATTAAGATCAACCCAGAAAGAGACCTGAGAACCAGCTCCATGTGCAGCATTCCATTTATCTAGAAAATTAAAAGACAGATTTTGGAAAAACATCAAATCAAACTCTACCACACTCTACTGTAAACATAGAAAAAAAAAAAACTGTAGGCTTTATAAACTTGTACTCAGCGACCAGGATGGTTAGCTACAAAAGCTGAAGGATGTCTTATTTCTCTTAATTTTCTGTGCTTAGTTCAAATATTCCTTTATAAATCTCAGAGTAATCAAATGATTAAAATACTACAAAGGTAAGGTAATTTTATTTATATAGCACATTTTCAGCAACAAGGCAATACAAAGTGCTTTTTCAAAGTTAAAAAATAGGTTTTTATGTTTTTACTTTATTGAATACAAACTGCCTGAGATCGGAAATACAAGATTTCTCATTTATTTCAAGTTGAATTTCAACTAGGAAAAATAATCACTTCTCAGTAGAAATGTTAACACCCAAACCGGTAGGTGGCAGCACTCAAATTACTTCTCGGAACGTTTAATGCTCCCGGAAAAAACAACGTTAGCTTCAAAGATCACAAAAATGTCCTGCTCTTTTTGCTATTGATGTCGAGTTTCTGTCTAATGTATGTTTTTAAGCTGACCTGGTAATGTGAAGGATTATTATCTAATCACTTACCGTATTGTCTTAATTTAAAGTTAACGACTTACCACGGCTGGCGGCTAGTTTATGTTGTGCTTGTGGCTAAAGATAGTTTAGGATTCAGCTTAGCCTTCAATTTGTTGTTGCAGTTTGCAGCACGGACTGCTGTGCTGTTAACAGGCAACTGGCTTTGCTTAATTAAGGTAACTGTTGAAGCAGCAGTGAACTTTTAACCGGGAAAATCGGAAGTTTGACGCGTGGAATGGCTGCTTTAGGATTTATTCCTGCCAACGACCATGATGCTTTTAGTTTCGGAACGGAACAAACGTCCACCAACAAAAGTTCCAAAATAAGCGGAGAAGAAGTCAGGAGGTTCTATGAAGATTTAATTAAAGATGACAAAACCCAGAAGGACCAGTCAGTGAGAGCAACCCACAGGAACAATCGTGGCAGGGGCTCTGATAGAAGAATGAGGAGGAGAGTCAGGGCTGGACGACTGCAGCAGGTTCGTCCCGAGTCTGTGGTCCAAATGGAGGCAAGACGTGAAAGAGAAGACAACCAAAGAAGACAGTCAGAGAGGTCAGAGAGAGCCCGGGAGCTGCAGGGACTGAGGCTGCTGCGCTGTGCTCATCAGGGGGACATTCCAGGACTCAAGGAGCTGATCTCAAAAGGAGTGGACATTAATTTCCAGGTAGCAACACCCAGAAGCGTTGTTTCTTTTCAGCTTGATTTAATATTATTTATCAGTTTGCGTTTTGTCCTGCAGGACTCCTATCTGTGGACAGCTGTGATGTGTGCCAGCTGGTCAGGACAGAAAGCTGCAGTGAGGCTACTGCTGATGCACGGTGCAGCCTGGGTCGGAGTGGTTGATACAAGAGGCAAGGATGCCCAAGATCTGGCATCAGAAGGTATCTTCATGTGTCTGTCCCAACCAGTCAGTGTTCATGATATTCTGATTTGTATATTTTTTCTGAATATCTTTACTTGCCCACTTTCTTCACAGCCGGCCATGATGACGTCCTGGAAGAGTTATTAAGTTTTGGAAAAAGTCCAAAGAGAGAGACACCGTCTCATTGCAGGTTAGTACATGTAATTGCGACTGAAGAAATCGCACTATTGGCACAAATAAGTTACAGTCGGCGTACAAAAACTAAGATACCCTTGTATAAATGTACATTCATCTGAATGTGTTTTGTGAAAAGGTGAAATCTTGTTTTTTTTTCCCAAACAAAGAAACTCTTTTACTGGATGCAGAAGTAACAGATCAAAGTGTCTGTGTAAGTCAATATGAACATAATGTGGATACAAAACAAGCACATGTGAAGCTAAAATACTCCTTTATTTGGACTGCTTACCTAAGATATAGTGGCTTTTACCACTTTTACTTTATATTACAACCACAAATTTCAGTTCATTTTATTTGAATTTCATTTTGTACATAAACTTAAATTGTGAGGTTATATTTGGATTTGCCCTCACCTACTTAAGAAGTGAGGGCAAACAGTTGTTTTTTAATTTAAGATATTTCTAATTGTGGCTATTTCTTTTGAATCAGTTATATATACATATACATTTTAAATGCAATTTAACAAGTGAATAGAGTCAAGCTGCATGAACTTAAAAAGGTTAAAACAACTGCAGAACTGCAACACACAAATTTGTGCACACTTTTTGGACTGCTGTTTGTAGAAGGAACAACTTGACCACCATGTGTCCATGTCCTTCCTCTAAGCAGCTCGGTGCAGCTTTGTGCTGATACTTTCTGGATGTAACATGATAAAGTTCCTGGGCAGCGTTTAGTTTTGGAGATCAACTGTGCTTTGAAGCAATATTTAAAGCCTAAAAATGTAACTTAATTCATGCATGTCTAGTGTCAGATATCAACTGTGCTAAACTATATCCTATATTATAGTTTTATATACTAAAGTTTTAGGAACTATAAATCCTAAAACAAATGGGCCATAGTGATCTGTCATCTGTTTTTTTTTTTTTTTTTTTTTTTAAAAAAAATTTTTCTAAAACCCCCCCCTTTTTTCCCATTTTTTAAAACCAAAAAAAATAANCTTAGTAAAGCCATGGCAAAATGGATTTTAAAAAATTAGACCACGGGTTCTCAAGCTTTGCTGCAAGTAGATCTGGTGATATTTGGGTGGTCTTTAGTAATGCTCAAAGAAAACGTTACCAACTATTTACATTGTCAATATGAAGCATATTAGCTGTAATGCGGATACAATAGGTCCAAAGAGCCAGCAGGATCAGCCAAAACTGATCCTGCTGGCTCTCAGGTTAATTAAGGTAACTGTTGAAGCAGCAGTGAACTTTTAACCGGGTCTCTTTCTGGGATGATCTTATTCCTCCACTGAGAATTAAGATCAACCCAGAAAGAGACCTGAGAACCAGCTCCATGTGCAGCATTCCATTTATCTAGAAAATTAAAAGACAGATTTTGGAAAAACATCAAATCAAACTCTACCACACTCTACTGTAAACATAGAAAAAAAAAAAACTGTAGGCTTTATAAACTTGTACTCAGCGACCAGGATGGTTAGCTACAAAAGCTGAAGGATGTCTTATTTCTCTTAATTTTCTGTGCTTAGTTCAAATATTCCTTTATAAATCTCAGAGTAATCAAATGATTAAAATACTACAAAGGTAAGGTAATTTTATTTATATAGCACATTTTCAGCAACAAGGCAATACAAAGTGCTTTTTCAAAGTTAAAAAATAGGTTTTTATGTTTTTACTTTATTGAATACAAACTGCCTGAGATCGGAAATACAAGATTTCTCATTTATTTCAAGTTGAATTTCAACTAGGAAAAATAATCACTTCTCAGTAGAAATGTTAACACCCAAACCGGTAGGTGGCAGCACTCAAATTACTTCTCGGAACGTTTAATGCTCCCGGAAAAAACAACGTTAGCTTCAAAGATCACAAAAATGTCCTGCTCTTTTTGCTATTGATGTCGAGTTTCTGTCTAATGTATGTTTTTAAGCTGACCTGGTAATGTGAAGGATTATTATCTAATCACTTACCGTATTGTCTTAATTTAAAGTTAACGACTTACCACGGCTGGCGGCTAGTTTATGTTGTGCTTGTGGCTAAAGATAGTTTAGGATTCAGCTTAGCCTTCAATTTGTTGTTGCAGTTTGCAGCACGGACTGCTGTGCTGTTAACAGGCAACTGGCTTTGCTTAATTAAGGTAACTGTTGAAGCAGCAGTGAACTTTTAACCGGGAAAATCGGAAGTTTGACGCGTGGAATGGCTGCTTTAGGATTTATTCCTGCCAACGACCATGATGCTTTTAGTTTCGGAACGGAACAAACGTCCACCAACAAAAGTTCCAAAATAAGCGGAGAAGAAGTCAGGAGGTTCTATGAAGATTTAATTAAAGATGACAAAACCCAGAAGGACCAGTCAGTGAGAGCAACCCACAGGAACAATCGTGGCAGGGGCTCTGATAGAAGAATGAGGAGGAGAGTCAGGGCTGGACGACTGCAGCAGGTTCGTCCCGAGTCTGTGGTCCAAATGGAGGCAAGACGTGAAAGAGAAGACAACCAAAGAAGACAGTCAGAGAGGTCAGAGAGAGCCCGGGAGCTGCAGGGACTGAGGCTGCTGCGCTGTGCTCATCAGGGGGACATTCCAGGACTCAAGGAGCTGATCTCAAAAGGAGTGGACATTAATTTCCAGGTAGCAACACCCAGAAGCGTTGTTTCTTTTCAGCTTGATTTAATATTATTTATCAGTTTGCGTTTTGTCCTGCAGGACTCCTATCTGTGGACAGCTGTGATGTGTGCCAGCTGGTCAGGACAGAAAGCTGCAGTGAGGCTACTGCTGATGCACGGTGCAGCCTGGGTCGGAGTGGTTGATACAAGAGGCAAGGATGCCCAAGATCTGGCATCAGAAGGTATCTTCATGTGTCTGTCCCAACCAGTCAGTGTTCATGATATTCTGATTTGTATATTTTTTCTGAATATCTTTACTTGCCCACTTTCTTCACAGCCGGCCATGATGACGTCCTGGAAGAGTTATTAAGTTTTGGAAAAAGTCCAAAGAGAGAGACACCGTCTCATTGCAGGTTAGTACATGTAATTGCGACTGAAGAAATCGCACTATTGGCACAAATAAGTTACAGTCGGCGTACAAAAACTAAGATACCCTTGTATAAATGTACATTCATCTGAATGTGTTTTGTGAAAAGGTGAAATCTTGTTTTTTTTTCCCAAACAAAGAAACTCTTTTACTGGATGCAGAAGTAACAGATCAAAGTGTCTGTGTAAGTCAATATGAACATAATGTGGATACAAAACAAGCACATGTGAAGCTAAAATACTCCTTTATTTGGACTGCTTACCTAAGATATAGTGGCTTTTACCACTTTTACTTTATATTACAACCACAAATTTCAGTTCATTTTATTTGAATTTCATTTTGTACATAAACTTAAATTGTGAGGTTATATTTGGATTTGCCCTCACCTACTTAAGAAGTGAGGGCAAACAGTTGTTTTTTAATTTAAGATATTTCTAATTGTGGCTATTTCTTTTGAATCAGTTATATATACATATACATTTTAAATGCAATTTAACAAGTGAATAGAGTCAAGCTGCATGAACTTAAAAAGGTTAAAACAACTGCAGAACTGCAACACACAAATTTGTGCACACTTTTTGGACTGCTGTTTGTAGAAGGAACAACTTGACCACCATGTGTCCATGTCCTTCCTCTAAGCAGCTCGGTGCAGCTTTGTGCTGATACTTTCTGGATGTAACATGATAAAGTTCCTGGGCAGCGTTTAGTTTTGGAGATCAACTGTGCTTTGAAGCAATATTTAAAGCCTAAAAATGTAACTTAATTCATGCATGTCTAGTGTCAGATATCAACTGTGCTAAACTATATCCTATATTATAGTTTTATATACTAAAGTTTTAGGAACTATAAATCCTAAAACAAATGGGCCATAGTGATCTGTCATCTGTTTTTTTTTTTTTTTTTTTTTCAGATACAACTATTCGTAAACTCCCTGCTCTGTTGCACATTTGTCAAACTACAAGAATATAAACTAAAAAGCCATCCAAATTTCTATATTGTATGCACATTGTACTGAAAGAAGAATTCACTCTTATTTCACTAGAATTTACAACCACATCCATGGTGCTATATTCACTGAGTTAAGACAGTCAGATATTTCTGGCATGTCTCCTCTAACATATTTTCTTAATGTTCTCAGGTTGCTCAAGCCTCAGTGGTGCGATGTGTGCCGCTGTGAGTACGGAAACAGCCACTCATCACATATTTCCTCTACTTTGCATCAGTTCAGTCTGCACCGTCCTCAGCCCACGCCTTACTACTGCCTCCCCCCGTCCAGTAACAGCTACAGGATGATGGTTCGCTGCGGCTGGAAACCGGGTATGGGTCTGGGCCCAGAGGCAGATGGCGCTAAGCAGCCCGTATCCACCGTATTAAAAAGAGACCAGAAAGGTCTGGGATTTGGACCAATAAAGAGACCTAAAGTGACTCACTTCAAAGCTGGTGATGCTGATGCCGTAAAACACCAACAGCATGAGAAAGAAGAAAAGGGACAGAGAGCACAGAAGAAGGATGAGATCAAGAGAAAAGAGCAAAAAGATAAAAACTGGGAGAGAGATTTTCGTGCTTCGTTTTATTAGTAAGACCTAGCCATGCTCTCCTGTTGGTGCTCTCTCTGTGGACTTGTCTAAGACGTTTCACACTGCAGTGTGACCTTACCTCAGTTTTGGCCAACATGTTCTCTACAGTTTGTGCAATGATGATGCTCTTTTATTTTTATCTGATTCATTCTTACTTTTAGGATTTGCTGTTGACTTTCTGAGACTGTTTCAAAAAAACAATTAGTATTTATGTTCTAACAATATCAAAAGAAAGTAAAATGCATTTTTAATATAAAAAGCAGTGGGCATATATTTTTGATAAAAGTGTTGCTTTATTTTCATTGTTTTCTTGTTTCTTGAAAATCCCATGAGTGACAACAGAAGTTTAACAGGCCAGTGGCTCTCTTTAGGCCATGTCGCAGTGCAGGGTCCGGTTATAAATGTTGCAAATGCCTGTCAAAAAATTGTTCTGGGGCTCATGCAACCCAAAATTCTCTGCAACCCAAAATTGCAGAGAATTTTGGGTTTCTTTGCCAAAATTATTCCAAATGCCTTAAACTACGAAGAAGTGAAAATATTGCCAAAACTTGGTACATGATCATGTACATGTACTGGAACCATTATGTGAAGCCAACATATCAACAAGAATCAAAATCAAAAGAAAACATGTTATTCTGGAAATATGTTTGCTAAAGAACATATTGACTGGCCTAAAGAGAAGTTGCTAACCTTAACCCATTGTATGGACTAATGATACCAGGATTATTTGTTTTATCTAAAGCCAAATGGCCAACCCTAACCCGAGCAGTTACTGAGCTCTCTACTGCAACTCCAGCTACCGTTTCACCTAATTTAACACACCCAGACATGTGACTCGCATGTTTGTTCTCCACTGCTTTGTCAGCTTGATATTATGATCCAGGATTGTAAGAGTGCTTTACAATCCTGGATCATAATATCAAGAGGTAAACCATAACTGTTTACCTCTCAAAACCTGAAGGTCATATTTACTTGATCTTGCTTTTATAATTGAAAATGTACAACTTCATATGAAAGGGCTTGCATAAATATATATTTACAAATAGGTTTTTTAACCATTTTAACATGGTAAACAGAGATAATTGAGTATTTTTAAAGACACATCTGCCTTATATGTTATTTTTACAGATTATTGTAAAAATTCATAATTCACATGTAAGTAATTGGATCCTTTACCAGGAGGTCTAGTGCTAAATACAGTCATATGAAAAAGTTTGGGCACCCCTATTAATCTTAATCATTTTTATTTTTAAATATTTGGGTGTTTGCAACAGCTATTTCAGTTTGATACAACCAATAACTTATGGACACAATAATATTTCAGTATTGAAATGAGGTTTACTGGACTGAAAAAAAAAAAAAAAGTGCAGTACGCATTAACACAAAATTTGACAGGTGCAATAGTATGGGCACCTCAACAGAAAAGTGACTAATATTTAGTAGATCCTCATTTTGCAAAAATACCAGCCTCTAGTCACTTCTTACAGCTTTTAATGAGTTTGATGGTCGCTGAGCATGGACAACCCGCTTCAAATCATCCCACAGATGCTCAATGATATTCAGGTGTGGGGACTGGGATGGCCAATCCAGAACATTGTAATTGTACATCTGCATGAATGGCTGAGTAGATTTGGAGCGGTGTTTTGGATCATTGTCTTGCTGAAATATCCATCCCCGGCGTAACTTCAACTTTGTAACTGATTCTTGAACATTAATCTCAAGAATCTGTTGATATAGAGTGGAATCCATGCGACCCTCAACTTTAACAAGATTCCCACTGGCCACACAGCCCCAAAGCATGATGGGACCTCCACCAAATTTAACAGTGGGTAGCAAGTGTTTTTCTTGGAATGCTGTGTTTTTTTTCCATTATGCATAACGCCTTTTTTTTTTATGACCAAACAACTCAATCTTTGTTTCATCAGTCCACAGGACCTTATTCCAAAATGGCTGGCTTGTCCAAATGTGCTTTTGCATACCTCAAGCGGCTCTGTTTGTGGCGTTCTTGCAGAAACGGCTCTTTCGCATCACTCTCCCATACAGCTTCTCCTTGTGCAAAGTGCGCTGAATTGTTGAACCATGCACAGTGACACCATCTGCAGCAAGATGATGCTGCAGGTCTTTGGAGGTGGACTGTGGGTTGTCCTTGACAGTTCTCCCCATTCTTCTTCTCTGCCTCTCTGATATTTTTCTTGGCCTGCCACTTCTGGGCTTAACAAGAACTGTCCCAGTGATCTTCCATTCCCTTACTATGTTCCTCACAGTGGAAACTGACAGATTAAATCTCTGAGACAACTTTTTGTATTCTTCCCCTACACAACTATGTTGAACAATCTTTGTTTTCAGATCATTTGAGAGCAGTTTTGAGGTGCCCATGTTGCCACTCTTCAGAGGAGATTCAAATAGGAGAACAACTTGCATTTGGCCACATTAAATACCTTTTCTCATAATTGGCTACACGTGGCTATGAAGTTCAAAGCTTAATGAGGTTACCAAACCAATTTTGTGCATCAGTAAGTCAGTGAAAAGTAGTTAGGAGTATTCAATCAATAAAATGATAAGGGTACCCAAATTTTTGTACCTGTCAAAGTTTGTTTTGATGCATATTGCACATTTTCTGTTAGTACAATAAACCTCATTTCAATACTGAAATATTATTGTGTCCATCAGTTATTACATATATCAAACTGAAATAGCTGTTGCAAACACCCAAATATTTAAAAATAAAAATGATTAAGATTAATAGGGGTGCCCAAACTTTTTCATATGACTGTATTAGAATTATTTAAAGTATTGGTGGATAAAATTGTTCTGTTAGGCACTAAAAGTGTTTTAAATTTGGTTTGTAAAACAGCGTGGTTGAAGATTTCTGCACATAAACAATCTTACGTTTAGCAAACAGATGGAATATGTGGAATATGTACTTTCTGGTAGGTATGTCTGCAGCTTTAGTAAATGACATTTGGGATTTTTTTTTCATAATGTGTTGTCAGTGTTGCTTATGAGGAGTTAAAAATGGACAAAGATTTACTTTATGTGGACCCAATATTTTGTAAAAGGTAACAGTTTGGAAATAATATAATAGTAAAAAATTGTGCTCTTTCACCAATCATATTTCAATATAATTCTTAAGAATATTTTTGGAGAAATTATCTTAATATCTTAACTTTCTCTTTAATAAGTTCATACTTTGACAAATGTTTTTCTATTTGATCAATATGATTTCAACAAGTCTGGGTAAACTCAGGCGGGGATGAGAAACAGAAAGGCACCTTTAAACTATGTAGAAAACCTAAAGACAATGTTCCAAAATATTTAACTGAAATATTGCTGTTTATTAACATAAACAAAAATTAGTATCAAATGCTCTTTATCAAATCAAACTGCTACTAACAACTGCATACATAGGCTTAGCCTTGAGCGATGTACGGTCAGTCAGTCATCAGTTGTCCAGGTCTGCTGAGTTGAGGGAGCGTTTCTGTAGCTTTAGTTTGATTGGCTGCAGAGGTCCCATCAGGCCCTCAGGGTGCATCCTCAGAGGGATCTTGGGAAATAAAAAAAAGAAGTCAAGTAGGTTCTTTTCAATTTTTCTGCAGTATGTGCTTTGACATTTCTTACTGTATATTTTTGAAAAAAACAAAAACTATTTTTGTAATAATACCTCAGTCTCGTCACAGACCAGGAAGCTGTAGTTCTGCAAAACTTTCACCAAGGCCAGTTTGATCATTACCAGAGCAAATCGCATCCCCAGACAGTTCCGTGGTCCGATCCCAAACGGCAGGTAAGTATACGGGTTGATGCTCTGTTTGTTCTTCTTACTAAATCTTAAAAAACAGCACAAAAAGAGAATGATTCATAAAGTAGTATGACACTTTTAACTGCTTTGGCTGTGTGTTTTATCATTTTATCAGTAGGAATGTGCAAACCCATTGCACTCATTAGACCATGTACAATGAGTGTAATTGAATAAATTAAAGAAACTGACAACTGACAGTCAAATGTCGATCGACAATGATAAATACTGCTATTCTCATTATGTGTTGATTTATATTTGATGTCTTATTTGGGAAGGTTTTATTGTTTCTTACTTATTTTTATGTCTTTTTATATTCACATACTTGGTGTGAATATCAAGTATGGGATTTATTCATGTCTTCATTAGGGACTTGAATAAATCTGAAATCAAACAAAACTCAAAGTATGGTTGTGTGTTTGTAGTTATTTTCCTAAACAAATTTCACAAATTCTCAAAGTGACCCTTGAGAATTTGTGAAATTTGCTTTGTTTTTTATTTTTTAAGCAATTAAACTCTAAATTAATAAACATTGGGCCTATTGTGATATTTACTAAAAGCCCCAGTGTCTTGTCAGTAGATTAGAGGGAACTTAGAAAAGTGCAGGTTTTAAATTGCAGGTGCAGATGCCTTCTGGCAATTTGTCACAAGGACATTTTTATTTTCACTACAATATTTACTGGGAGCTTTATTATCTTTTCCACCAGCATGGAGTCACTTTTAATCAAGCCAATCTTTTCAACGCTGTTAACGCCAGGCCTCTAACACAGATCAACGAGTAAACAACGAGATCACTTTGAAAAACTTCTGCATTGACTTTTATCTTTTATCTCTATATGCATTGATTCTGACTGTTATATAATTGTGGGAGATTTCAAAGATTACAAGCTGTCGATATACTTGAAAATTTTGTTCTAATTCAGCTTGTGAAACAAGCAACACACAATTGATGATATAAACTGGACTAATTAAATAAATGTAATTTAGTGATTGTTGAATTTTGAAAAAGAAAAGTCCTTGTTTTGCCTGTCAAAACAAGGTTTGACAGGCAAAAAAATAAACAAAAACAAGAAAAGATTTTAATCACCATCAAGTCAATTCGTAGGGGCTATTATATGAAATCTTGGCAAACAGAAGACTAACTGAAGGATGCTCTCAGCTATGATAATACCTAGGTAGTTTCCTCCATTTTCATAATTTTAAGAATCTACTTTACAATTTTCTGTCATGGTCAGGTAAAACCATTTGACAGAAAACTATTAAAATGCTGAAAAAGTACAAATTACTGGAAATCCTTTGTCTTGTTAAATCAGACTTCTTAAAATTACTACAAGATATGGAAACAAATAAGGGGTTTAAAACCTTGTAACACTGCAACAAGGTCTAACATGTTACTAAAAGTACTCAGTAAGAGTTTCCAATGTAAATCTCAGCACTGGTCAGCTCACCGCTCAGGTTTGAACTCCTCTGGATTTGGCCATAACTCTGGGTCACGGTGCAGAGCATAAACTGGAACCATAACAATCATGTTCTTGGGGATTGTGATTCCTTTGATCTTCACAGTTTCTTTAGCCATTCTCTCCAGACGTGCAGCTGGGGGATAGAGCCTGCAAAAACACAGAGCTTTTAACCTTAACCCTTGTGTTGTCTTGCGGGTCACACAGCAAAAAAAAAATAATCTCAAACGTAATAAAATCAAATTAGGTATAGAGGATATGAAGGTATGCTGAATCTGAGTACCACTAGTACTGAAGGAGCAAGTAGAAAAAGACTATCTATCAAAGGTTACAGATTGCCTGACTACTGTGAAGTCTATAAACAAAACCGATGCCATAACCTTGCTATCCTTCAGCTTCCTTGCTGAAGCCATGAGTAGACGTTTCACTAACAGCTGCTACGTTGCATGTTTGCACATACTGACCTACATGGGATCTTCAGCATAAGAAGTTGAACATCTTGTGTTTAAAAAATTTTTGTGCTGAAGATGTTCAACTTAGGAGCATCTTCATATGGTGAAGAACATCTTCAAGTTATAAAGATTTTCTTGAACATCTTGTGTTGAACATTTTGTGTTCAATGTGGGATGTTCTTCGTCTTATATTCAATATAGGCTAGGAAGGATATGATGATCTTTGGTTTCTGTTGAAGATGTTCATCAGGAAAGCAGATTTATAAGACGAAGAACATCTCCATCTCATGGGGATGTTCTTCATCTTAAGTTCAACGTGGGGTGGTAAGGATAGGATGATCTTCAGCTTATGTTGAAGATGTTCAACATAAAAACATCTTATAAGTTCAACACCTTATGTTGAGCAGAAGATGTTCTTCATCTTGTGTTGAACATTTCTTATAATTATGAGACACAACATAAGAAGTGATGTTAAATTGTTCACAAAATCAAGCTACATTTTTTTTTTTTTTTTTACAAAAATCAAACACGTTACCTCAAACACTCATCCACCACACTGCTGAGGTACCCCATCTGTATCAGACTTTCATACCGGATGGGACCCTGAGGAATTAAAACATAGTATTTATTTTGTTGTTATTTTTATGCATTGTAATCTTTAATGGTTTGCCAGAAATGTTGGTTGTACCTTCTCTGGAAAAGTTGAGTCTATTTCCTGCTGCAGATGTTTCATGACTTCAGGATTCCTTGCCAACGTGTATGCTAAGAAAGTAAGAGTGGTGGCACTAGTTTCATACCCAGCAAAGATGAGCATTGTGACTTGGGAAAGGATCTCATGATCATTAAGACCTATTGGAACGTATGAGAGGGGAATCAGTTAAAGGCACATTAACACTGGTGATGATATCTTGTAAGAATCAAGTTTGTATCTAAGAGTATAGTTAAATCCCTTTATAATTACCTTGATTCTCCATTACTTTGGTGAGGGTTTTTGTTTGATAGTTGATAAAATACTGAAGAATATCGGCCACATTCTAAAAATGGATCAGAAAGAAGAAAAACATAATTTTATGTTACCGTAGCTTTGACTGAATATAGTTCTTTAAATGGACATATCAGACAAAATGCATTTTTTCAGACCTTAATTAAATTTTATTCAGTACTGTAAGTGCCTAGGAGTGCAAAAAATGTAAATTTATTCTCTCCGGTGCTGCGTAGATATCTTTATATTCTTTTTAGGTTATATCTTTCAGTCTTTTAATTTTCCTCTATTGCCTTTAACATTTTTGTGGCTATGATGTCACTACATTTGCTGTAGAACTGCTAAGACTTCTGGCTTATCAGTTTTGTGAATCTGCCATTTTTTTATCACAGTGATAAAAAAAATGTATTCCATGTTGAATAATGCAGAAGTTGCAAAGTAAATAAGTCAAAATGTTCGGTTCTAGTGTGTATTCCTTATATCGTCCCCCTGCATCAGAGGCTCTTCTCAGTGTCAGGTTAAAGTCTGTGGAGCTACAATAACAAGGAATGCAGACCAAAGCATTGCAGTTCTACTTCATGTACTTATGGTGATTCACATGTAAATCACCATAAGTGAGTGATTTACATGTGAAAAGGAAGGATTTCAAAGCATAATATATCCACTTCATAGGATCTACAGGTACATTTGTGGACATTCAGTACTGTGTAGCACAAGTGTGTTTTTGGCAAACCGTTTTTGAGCTCTCATTCCGTTCTGCTCTTATTTTCTCCACAACTGTTCTAAAGAAAGAAGTAGAGGACTTCAGGAATAGTGAAACTCCAAGGAATTTCAGCAGAGGAAGAAAGAAAGGAAAAAACCCTGAGGGAGCATAGGAAGTACATGGTTTTAATGCTGGATAATGCAGTTTTAATGGACAAAAAGGTGAAATCAAACAGCAATACCTTGAAACAAGAAAAGAGGCACAGGAAATCTAAAAAGCTTCGAAGCATGCGTAATGAAGGGATTTGAAGGCTCGTTAATTGAGTCCAGGTCCACACTAAATACACAGCTCGCCATCACATCCATGCTGTAGGGTCCAAAAATGCTAGAATACACACCAGATACAGCCACATGGTTCAGGTTTCCAGGCTGTATGTAAATGTGTTCAGCACTAGGAGATTGCATGCAGTTTGGCATCTCAAATACAAAACATAATGCAAAAAAATGGAAATGTAATGTAAATGTGACAGAAATGATAACCAGAAAATCATCAATATAGATCAGTAATGTAAAAGCCAAATATCTAAAGTAAAGGCATAATCTAATGATTAAATGCATGAATATTGTCTTATTGAACCAGAGATGAAATTTTCTGTCATAATTTGCTCTGGGTTACTTACTCTTTCATGGTAATAACTTCACTGTTGTCCACCTTAGATTGCAAGCCAACAACCATCTTGTGGGAATGATGCTGCATTATGTTGAACATCTAAAGGAAGAAGAAAAGAGAATATTATGAGTGAAGATATTTGTGTGCGTACACTTCCAACCAGATGTTTATGTTTCCACTCATTATGGACACGAACATCACACAAATATTTATATCTGTATTTATGATTTGAACATTTGCTGTTATTTTTTGGGTGCACTGATAAAACACCAAAGAAATTTAAGTTATTATTTTATAATTCAAACATGGACAGGATTATGAATAAATATTTTAGATATCAATATCTAAAAGTCATGGGGAAACCACAAGCTTCTAACAGATTGTAATTTGTATGTGATTTGTAATTTGTATGTTTTTCAGCTGATGTGATAAATGTACAAAAATAGTTTTTGAGTCATCCATCCATCCATCCATTTTCTGAACACCCTTGTCCCTCAGTGGGGTCGGGAGGGGTGCTGGTGCCTATCTCCAGCTAACGTTCCGGGCGAGAGGCGGGGTACATCCTGGACAGGTCGCCAGTCTGTCGCAGGGCAGTTTTTGAGTCATGTACTTCCTAATTTTTTTTAGAAAGCAAACCCTTTCTGTGCCTGCATTAATCTGTACGTTTGCTTTCAATCAAGCAGCTTGCTATTCTCCACCAATCAGCTGTGGCTCTACAGTGGAGTTCCCGAACAATAAACTGACATGTGCTGCTTCTTTTCCTGCTACTAGGGAAAGGTTTACTGCCTTTTATACACAGTAAAACTCACTTTATGGACTACTGTCCCAATTGTTTTCAGTTCATAATAGGCTTGAGTTTGGGTGGTTATTGGATTGTTCCTCATCATCCTGAAGTTTTTTTTTTCTTTTTCATCTTTGAGGAACTTGCATGTGTTATTTCCAACAAGACAAGAGGCCAAAAAGCCCAAAGCCCATCTTTGTTGGCTTCAAAAAGCATGGAAGCTTCACCTTGCAATGGGATGTTTGTCAAATATTAGTGGAGGTGTATTTAAATGTTTTTGCCAATGTGTGGGTGACACTAACTCCACAATGCATTATGTTTATATTTGGACGCCCAAACATTGTTTTTGGAAAACAGTGAAGTTGCATAGCGTACTATGCAACTTTGAACAATTATTCACTTTAAAACAGAAGTGTTTATTCCATAACTGAGAGTGCAAATTTAATATGATGTCAATTTAATGAGCAGAGCATGATCTCTGACCAGAACTGTCCTACCTCTTTTATACGCCCAGAGGTGAATGAAGGAGTAACTTGGTTACGAATTCGTCTCCACTGATCATCTTCAGCAATGTTCACGGCGTCATAGAGGTCCCCATTCAGGCGGAAGTTCTAACCAAAATATAGCTGGTTTATTTGTGATTTTAGGCTTAATGAAAAGCTGTAAGACCAAAAGAAACTGTAATTGCTTTTATTATTAGAGAAGAGCAACAGGATTTCAAACACTTGTTCTTTTCGTTGTTTATCTTATGTGTCCTTACTCTTCGGTTGGTAAAGTATGTGAAGCACTCTTTAACAAGGATGATTTTCAGCATTTCAGGATCCATCACAGCCAGCATGGGCCTCCTGAGCTCATACAAGCTGAACAATAATACACATTACACATAGCTGCTGGGCAGATTGGCATAAAACCATTGAGATTTCTGGCTTCCCAAATATTTAAGTTTAGGAAATACAGTAACAATATTAAAGTAGATGCAATTGTGGTTGTAAATAATTTTAAAAAGTTTGGACCCACCCCCATACTCTTCCATACTTTTTAGCACATTCATAGTCATCCAAGTAGTACACCTGAAAAACAAAACATCTTTTTAGTAATTTCTGCTTCTTATCAGACATAAATGTGCATGGTGAAAACATAAAACACCCCTTATTTATTCCTGTCATACTATCTAATTACCTGGTTATGCCTCCCAACTGTCCCCCAATACATGAGTGGCTTTGGTCCCCTGACCCTCAACTTCTCAAACACTCCGTATGTCCAGTG